TAACAATAGTACATGTATGGTAACGTAACACTGCAGTTTCTAATTTTATCTTCAATATCAAAAATTGTTTGAACGTCAATATTTCCATAAAAAAAAAATGGCTCTAAGCATAGTTTTGCTGTGAACTCACCCATATGGAGTGGTTGTGGTTGTGCATATAGTTGGTGGTAGAATTACTGAATTACGACAATTACAGCATTTTTACCAGTGGTAGAATTAATTATGACATAGCATCTAATTGCCGTAAAAATTGTATGCCGTAATGCCATAATGTCGTAATGCCGTAATGTCGTAATGTCGTAATGCCGTAATGTCATAATGTTATAATTAAGTAACTACATCACTCTAAACCGGAAACTGAATATGTTGTTATTTGCCATACAAGCATTTCATTTACGTTAATTAGTCGGTAAGTATAAAGGTTATTTATATTCTATTTAAAGTGTAAGAAATCTGTATGACAAAGGTGAAAAAAATATTCTATGGTTACAAAGGGATGAAGTAAGATGCCTATAAAGTGGAGCAACAAAAGATGGAAAGTATAAATAAGGATACCCGATGATTGCACAAAAGCATTTCAACTAAGAGCCTTTGCATATAATAATTACATTCAATGAACTAGATAATGTTAAAAGAAGAATTTGCCTCTTTATTTTCTATGACATTGTTTGAACTATCTAGTAATTACAACTGTTACATATTAAGTAATAAATAGAAAGTTTCATAAGTCATTAATAATGCTTCTTAACTAGGCTGACTGAATCAAACAGCTTACCTGGGCTATTAAATGAACCACTTTGCAACCTGTCAATAATTTTTGAATAGACATCAGCTTAAATTTTATGAATTCATTCTTTACATATGATATCTATTTGCAAAAAAAAAAAAAACAAAAAACAAAAAAAAAAAAATTATAACAATGAAATATAATTAAGATCATAAATTACAATAGTTGTGTAATGAAATTTTTAAAACACAGTTATAAATATTATTGTAATCTGACAATGATATCATTTATAATCAATTAGATGTTCTCAAACAATGACTTATAGAATGGTCTAATTGGCCAAAAAAACAAATTATTATGTTTAAGTCAAAATAAAACCTAAACCTATCATTACATATTAGTCACACGATTTGTCACATCTAAAATTTTATCATATGATCTTCACAAATTACACAAACTGACGAAATTGAATTTTTAAAAATTTTGCACAAAACCTTAAACCCAACATGTACTGTTTCTTAAGACAAAACTGTTGCCAAGGTTTTTACGAATCAAATGGTATGAGAAATGTAAAAAATGACCTTTTCCTTATAAATTACCACTTCCTTGAATATGTGCAATTATTTTGACTACTTTTGTTTGATCTTTCTCAGGTTAACAACTTATTAACTCAAAAAATGATCTATTAGATGCATCAGAGGTAGAGCTTTTGCCAAAATGCATGTGCGAAGGGCTGGTACATTATAAATATAATGAAAAAAATCAAGAAAAACTGTTTTTCAGTATGTAGATCACTTAATAAATTGACATTTTTGTTTTATTTTTTACTTGGGAAAAATTTTTTTATGCTATTTAAAGGTTGCTAATACTTATTATCTTATTTAGGTTTATTTATCTGTATCAATATCACAATAAGTATAAAGATTATTTATTTATTTATTTCAAAAATTATTTATTAATTATTAGTATTTATTTAGCATTGGCATTAGGGAGTTTTCAAGCAGTTGCCTCAATGTGGCTTGCTAGTCATTACTATTATGATTAATTTTACTGAATTCGTGGCAAGAATATAAATTTTAGTCAAAGTAACTACAAAAAAGATATATTTTCATATTTTTTTACTAAGAGATTACTTATTAGTTATTAGCTTTGATGAATAAATTAAAATTTTGATATTTATTAAAAGAATTTTGGCAGGAAATATAAATAAAGATCATACTGTATAATTTAATTTTTAATAAAAATTTTTTTAAAAAAAAATATTCAATACAATTAACTCTCCCTAAGTTAACTCTATAGCTTTAATATCATATCGATAGTAGTTTAATTCAACCTAACATGTTCAAAAATTTGACTTTGTATAATTCTTAAATAATCTACTGCTAAAGTTTTTCCATCTACATTAAGGTTTTTATCAATAGTTTCATCTAAAATTTTAAAAACTATATTAGTACTGTAGTAGTACTGTAGTACCGTAGTAGTAAGCATTACTTTAATTCCTTCAATTCTGATCTAATTTACTTGGTCGGTTATAACTCTGCCTGAATTTCAATAAATCTTCATTGGTAATAACTCTAAATAGTTTATAATGTTAAATAACTTAGTAAGTTTATTATTATACTTAAAAAAAAAGCTTTCAAAGCAAGATAAAAAGTATATGTAAAGTAAAACAAAAGACCAACTTTAAGGGCGTGATCTTTCTCAGCTTTGGAACTTATCTTACTTTAGACTTAAAAATAAGAAAGTGCATATCTAACTAAAGCACTATTCATTATCTCGTGATTGTGGTTTCCTTTTAGGAAACCCCTGAAAAAGCCATTTGAAGAGGGCCTATCGTTACAATTTACTATGAAAAATGGATCGATCATATGGATGTCGATCACTCAAATTTCATAGTAAAAAATTTACCCTGTGATCTGCGTGACAAATCGTGTGACTGTTATATTTTGTTAATCGATTAAGACTTTTAGATATTTATCGGATACTAATAATGGAATTAACAATTTGTTATAAGCAATTTGGGGACCAAAGAGATTAACGAACAACTTCTACTATTAGGATTTAGAAGTTTTAAACTCAAATAAGTTATCTTTATTCTCCTATATACTTAAAATTTACAGACTAAGAAAAGATAAAATAAATTTTATTAAATCCATTTCGTCTATTTTGTCTTTTTTGTCCTTTTTGTCTTGTCCACGTCCCACCTTTACTAACTATAAGTGGCAATTACTGCCGAAAATAGAGGACGGAGGCAAATAATGTGATCAACATCCAATCAAATTATAGAATTTTGCTGATCGCCTAAAAACAAAAAATGGCAGTCTAAACCTACCTCGGGTAGGTTAATCAAAAATGTCGGGAAGGCAATTTTGCTTATATATAACTACCAAAAACTATTCTACCCTAATATAGGATGCCCTTAACCCTAAAATCAATCGAAAAATTTTTTATTAAATATAAAAAATAAAAATAAACAAAAATATAAATAACATTTAAAGAATGTTTATTGGATGAATGCGTTTTTTATACGTTTTTTATACGGTCAAAAATTTCCTATTTTTTACGTCCCGTACAAACGTCGTTATGAAAACAGTACAAATATAAACCCTGTTCGGAAAATCGACTCCGTTCCGAACATTTTTTTGGACAATGCCTACAATAACAGTACAAATTTTTTTTATAGGGACTAAGTAGCAAATCGGAAATAAATTATCGATCTCTTTGCATAAAAACCATAAACAACGAACAATATGTACATAATAGGATGCTATGAGAATGACAAATTTAGTTATTTCAATGATTAGATTTCATGCACACCGTACGTACGTACAGTACGTATGTATGTATGTAAACGTATGTACGTATATATGCATGCACACTCGAGTTAATATAAATAGTGATTGTTTTTTTAGAATCTTTAGATAGAATTACTTTTACTGATGCCCCAACATTTGTAATGAATACCTACTACTAATTAAAACACTAGTTAATTTAGTGACGAAGTTAAAATTTTGAATTTTTATTAATAACTTTTATAACTCTGATTATCGTTGCATTATCAATAATGTTATATATTTCTGGCATGTACAAAGTGTGTGTATTTGCAGTAAATACTTATTTTTATATGCATTTTCTATTTAATATAAAGTTTAAAAAGTCAAGGTCGAAATTACCAATTTTTATTATGTCATCAAACTTTAAATAAATCTTTGTCCTAATTTAAGGTCTTTTATACAATGAAGGAAAGGAAAAAAAAAGAAAAATTAACAGTTTTAGCAAAAAAAATCAACTGTATTAGAAATTTAGAATTAACTGTTTTGACAAATATTTCGCCAAAATTCAAAAAGAAATAATTAATATTTCTATTAAATGCCAATCCAAAATTTCTTATATAAACAATCATTTGAAGTTTCAACTCAACACAAACAATTTCGTTTCTTTTAAAAAAAAATAACTTCTCTCACACACGAAAAAACAATAAAAACTTTTTTTAAATCAATCAATAAAAAAAAAAAAACAATAATTTTTAAAACGTTTTTTTAAATCACAATAAATATGAAATTAAATATTTCTACAGTATGTTTGATCCTTCTCCTCTCTTCCTCTACCACAATAGCGGCTCCAACTAGGCGAGGTATTATTTTTTTTCTAGATTTAACTAAATAATGATATTTTATAAATGGTCACATATATTTATTAAAATTCGTGATCTCTTTATAATAGCATACAGTAAAGAATTACTTTGTAATTATTATTTATCTTTTAATTTTGTATTTATTTTCACCAATTTTTTATGTACTGACATGATTTCTATTTAAACGTAAAGTCGGTAGAGGTGAAGACTATGGTAGTAAAGGCAACAATGGTTATAGTCAAGAAAATAAGAAACGTGGTGAAGATGACAGCGAAGGTGGAGATGGATCAAATCTCAGTGAAGAATCAAGTGATAAGAAGAAACGTCAAGATGACGAATCAGGTGGAGATGGATCAAATCTCAGTGAAGCGTCAATTGATAAGAAGAAACGTCAAAATGACGAATCAGAATCAGATGGAGCACCATCTGTAGTAGATAAACGTGGTGAAGATGACAGCGAAGGTGGAGATGGATCAAATTCCAGTGAAGAATCCAGTGATGGATCAAGTGATAAGAAGAAACGTCAAGATGAATCAAGCTCCAGTGATGTATCAGGATCCAGCGATGGATCAAATGATAAGAAGAAACGTCAAGATGAATCAAGCTCCAGTGATGTATCAGGATCCAGCGATGGATCAAATGATAAGAAGA